GGATCCTAACTCTGCAAAAATGCACAAATTTCTCTCGTAAAATAGAATACACACGTAAGTTAGGAGATGCACACAATTAGATAGTTTAAGTGGAGGAGAAAAAATAGGATGTGGCAAAGAAGAAAGAAGTGTGCGGAGAGTGGCACACACACACACACACACAGACAGAGACAGAGACAGAGACAGAGACAGAGAAGGAAAAAAAAAAGACGGCAATTGGCAGTCAAAAGGAATCCGCATACAGCAAATCTCTAGAAAGGAACGTATGGGTTACGCGCGCCTGACTTGACGCACGTGACATTATCCAAGAAAACAGACGCAGAAGCACGAGGTTCATCTGTTTCTAAAACAGATAAAAAATTAAAATGATGAGAAGGCAAACTTCCCTTCTGCCACAGGGCCATAAACAACTGGCGGCGTGGGCACTTGCCTCGCTGCAGTGCCGCAACCTCCATTGGTCTACCCTAGCCAGCGACGAGCTCACACCCCCAACCGCGCGGTGCGTTGTGGCAACTCCGCCTGCAGTATTTCTTGAATGCAGCTCCAGATAAACCATCATCGCCACCCCACAGAGCGGCGACCTCACACGTACAAACTTCACTCCTCATCGCATCTTCAGCCAACCCACCGCAAGAGGAGGTATGCAAGCAGCAGACCGAAGTGGGGCGATGACTCCCCCGTCCCCCGACCGCATGTAAACGCAGAGAATCCAGGCAATACGGATGGGTGGGTGTCCCCTACAATGTGATGTGGCGAAGCTCAACCGTTTCCAAAGCCCAGCAGTGCCCTTGTGGTCCGACCACCCCTGAGTTAAGTATGCCTGTGACTCCAGCACATGGTAGGTCCCAAATCGCTCCAATAGCGTTTCTCTTTGATTCCCAAGAAAAACGCAGCTCCCGCCTTATCTTTGTTCCTTCACATGTTGATGGTGCACCTCCCAGTTGCTGCAACGAGAGAGACCCACGCATCCATCATGGGCATAAGTTATATTGTCTGTCGTGAGAAGTTATGTGGCAACAACACACACAATAATAATAAAAGATTGAAGAGCACAGAGGGAAGTAAAAAATATGTGTGTTTACGTTGGGATGCGGCGCGTACCATCACGCCGACACAGCAGTTGCAGAGATGACTGGCGGAAAAAAGCGACATAACGGTGGCGCCTAAGTGGAATGAAGGAGAAGGAGAGGCGCTGTAAGAGACAGAGAGGCAGAGAGAGACAGAGAGACAGAGAGACAGAGAAAAAGAGAAAGATAGAGGAAAGGAGAAAAGGAAAAAAAAAAAAAGAAACGACGTCCATAGAGCAGCAGCCGAAGCACTCGTAAAGGGCTCAAAGCGAGAACAACTCCCACGCACGCACACACGCACGTACACACCTTCATACCCACTTTGGTCTTACTGCTTCCTCGGAAAACGAATTATTTCCGCATTCATTTCCCTCTCATTGGTACCTTACTTAATGTTCACAAGACGGCGGTAATGCTTTTCTACCGTGTGCAAGAGAGCCTGCACGGTACGTTGGTCGGCCTCATCCTTAACAGGAAACAAGGGCACCGTCAATACCTGCACAGTATTGCCCTCATCCATGTCGATTCCACCAGGAGGACAAGTGCCATGAAGCTGACGACAAACAACAACTTGCTGGAGAATCAACCGCAGGATGGCCATGGCTTGTTCATACATGTGCTGCTGCCGAACTCGTTGGCCCTCAGTTCGTGTCTCCTCTTCCTCCATGACGCTGTCTTGCTCGTTTGTGTCACCAAGCATAAGCTCCTCGGTGGCGGCCATGCGAATGAGCGACACGGTGCGTTGGAACAGCAGTGTGTGCGCGGTGGGGTACGTCGACTTTTGCGGGACCACAGATGGTGTTACAAAGGAATCCACAGAGGTTTCTAGCCCTTGTGCGTTATCTGTGGAACACCCCAGCGGCACGGAGCCCAGTTTTTTCTGTGTTGTAATAAATGGCAAATTCCTTTTTAGCCGCTGTGCGGTTTCCTGAATGTAGTTTTCCATCAACTTAATGTCGTCAGGAAGAGCAAAACGCAGCGGAACTCGGTTATTGGCGCACGCGCTTTTGGAGGCGTCCGAACATACCATTCCTTCCGTTAAAGGGTGTTCCTCCCGCAATGACGCCACCGACGCCGCACAGAAAAGCTCCCACGCGTATGACAACAACACGAGCCCGCGTCCAGGGTCATTTTCTGCCTCCAAGACGTTATGCCGCAAAATGTAAAAATAGTCTCGAAAAGCCTGATAAATGAATTGCTGACGCTGCATCGCATTCAGGTTAAAACCAATACCTTGGATGTGCACCATGCTCGCCTGTTCCTCCCTACAGAGTGCTTGACGCGTGAGGTCAGCAGCCGTCATTGACGGCACCGACGCTTCCATCCCTGCTGTTGATAATTCTTTAGCTGTGATGACTGCGGTGGCGGGCACAGCACCTTCTTCTTCTGCTGCAGTTAGTACCTTTGCCGTGATGATGGCCTTGGCGCCAGTCGCAGCCGTGTCTACTGCGGTCTTCACAGCCTGTACCTCCTCTGTTGCACACATCTTCTCCGGTTGGAAAATCCACGGGTGGGCCCGCACCTGTTCAATTGTGTAGCGTGTCTTCGAGTTTGGATCTAAAATGTGCCGCATAAGCTCGTAGCACTCACGTGAGAGGGGAGCAACCTCCGATGGAGCTTGGTGAAACACATCCCCGTCCGTTCGTTTCTTATTGGAACAAAACACTTTACATAACATGTCCACTTCCTCTGCACACGTAATGGCCTTTAACAGCTGCTCTGGCGTGCGAACCGAGGAGGTGGCGTGCAGGTAGGGGTGTCTGGCAAAAAGCAATTCATACATGATGACTCCGAGCGCCCATACCTCCGCCTGGTAGTCGTACGATTCACGTGAAAGACGCTCTGGAGACATGTAGGCTGCCGTTCCCACAGCAGATTCAAACATTGACTCTATGTTTTTGCCGCACAAACCGCTGCCAAGCGCCGGCGTTTGCTTTGCCATGCCCCAGTCTGCCACCTTTACCACTGCCTCATCAATATTGTTGGTTGTCAGAAGAATATTGGCAGGCTTTAAATCGCGATGCATCATGCGGTTGCTTTTGAGAAAACAAAAAAAATCCACAAGCTGCCGCATGACGTGCTTTGCCTGCTGCTCTGAGAGGGGATCATGCCGTGCAAGAAACTCCTTCAAGTCTCCCCCACGACAGAGCTCCAGGACGAGTGCCAGCCTTATCTCAGAACTACTCCTCAATTCTTGTCGAAATACGCCAAACATGCGAAGAATATTGGGGTGATCCAGCTTCTGTAGGCGATTTAGCTCCTTCTGTTCAATCGACAGTTTTGCATGCTTGCTTACCGGCCCTTGAAGCATCTTTACAGCCACTTCATAGCCCTCCTTGCAGTGCCAACCACGGTAGACCGTTCCAAACTTCCCCTTCCCCAAGATTGCGTTCAGATCCACCACGTAGTCGCCAAGAAGGTACACAGCTCCTTTCAGATTCGGCAACAGTGTTGGGACCGGGGCTAGAGGCAGCGCCTGCGTCCTCTCGTCACTAGCCGCCACTGCGGCAGCGGTGTAGTCAGTCTCAGCTTCGTCTTCTTTCGGTTCATCTTCCTCCCCTTGCCCTTTCCATTCCTCCTCATCGATGCGACGCGGACATACTGTCTCCACGGCGGCGCAACCAATGGAGCACGGTTGCTGCCCCGGCACGTTTGTGGCAGGCTTCTCCTCCAACGTCCGCGCCTTATTTGTGCTATCTGCCGTAGTTGCTCCAGATGCAAAGAAACTCCTCATGTCTTCTACACCCCGCAGCTGTAGAACGGACATGACGGTCACAAGATCCTTCTCACTAGTGTCGAAGGTTCCGAGCGGTTGAATCGCGTCCGGCCATTGTTCCAGCAGCAATGCAAGTCCCTTCTTGGCCTCCTGGAGAAGCTCCTCCCGCTTCTCCAAACTCCCCTTAAACGTCAAGACACCCACCTCCATGCCACTGCTAACGTGCCGGCCACGGCAGATGGTACCAAAGCCTCCCTCACCAACAACATCCTCCCAGTCCACACTGTAGCTCCGTGGTGCAACGATCCCGCTCCCCTGTGGACATTCCACGGCGTCGCTTCCCCCAGCACCTTTGCCGTCTCCCTTGTGGTCTGTGCCAGTGTGAGGCAGGGGCTGTCTTTCGGAGGGATGGGACCTATCCATATCCACTCCCTTCCATGCTCCGGTTCGTATTCGTTCCCAATCTTCACACTCACCCACTTTGCCAATATACTGCTGTTGTTTTTGTCTGCTACCCTGTTCCTCGCCTAGCCCTTTTTCCTCCCCTTCAGTACACGTGTGACGCATTACGTTCAGTGTCCAACACAGCTTTAAAAAGCTTTAAAAAAAAGAACACAGACAAAGTGGAAGCATGCAATACATGAAAGAGGAGGGGAGGGGGGAAGAGAGAGAAAAAGGTAGAGTGATACAAGGTATACAAATACACAACACACAGCAAAATTCGGAGAGGCACGCACACAAATTACGTAGTACTTACAACTGGAAAAAGACATGTTCTATGCCGCGCCACCCCCCTCTCGGGTCCCACAACAAGAACAACCACCAAATATCGCCATCACTGCATACTGCCGTTGCCGTCGGTCTTGTTGGCATGATGGCTCACCTTGCGCGTGTAAAGCAGTCACGTTACTGCCAACTCAATACTTCATAATGAACCCTCGCGTATGCCAGTTCGAAGAGCCCCCGCTGCGCAGACCTCACTTCCCTCTCTATTGATGTATGCAAAAACGGCACGCTCCCGCGTGTTTGTGCTGCAAAGTACGTGCATGTGGGCGCTGGGATGAGAACATAAAAACGGACGAGCTTTGCTTATGTCTTCATGCAAAGAAGCAGAGAAGAAAAGAAAGAGCCGAGAGGGGAGATGACATAACGGGTGGAGTGCAGACAGCCTCGGCAAGTACAAAAAAGAAGAAACGCACACGCAAGCGCACATGCGCATAGAGAAGGAGCGAAGAGGCAGTGGGGGGGTGGCTAATGCATCGACAAGCATGAATAAACAAAGAAAGGGAGGGAGTGTCAAAAGGCAACCGTAAAAAAAAAAAAACATAATATTTTCCGTTGTCGCTCTTGATTTTTGTTTTGTTGAAAGGCGACGAAGTGATAGAATCAAGAAGAAAAAGAAACAAAACAGGACAATGACAGCAACACAGCGGATGGGGCACCAGCACAGTCATTGCACTGAAACGCTGTGGCCATGCTGCGCCCAAGAAAAGGGAGAAAGAGTGTGTGTGAGAAAGAGAGAAGGTGACTGAAAGTAGGAGAGGTTTTTAAATAAATAAAAAAAGAGAAAGAAGCGCGGTTGCCAAAGAAAAAGAGGAAAAAAACGACACAACGGGGTGTTGCCCGCGGCATCATCGCCGCATATCGCCCTCCTCTTCTTCTCCAGGGCACCCCCGCAAGGCACGCACTCGAACACGGTGGTAACAAAGAAAAATCAAACACAGAAATGGCGCTGGAAAACGTGCGCCGCTAGCGATAAGCGACTACGGCTTAAGTAATTGCAACAGAACGAAAACGTCACGTTTTTTTTTTTGGTTTTCCCTTTTCGTTTCAACCCCTCGCCTCTTCAATGTAACCTGTCCCCACTTCCTCCCACCGTTTTGGTTATGCACACTAGCATCCTCCCCTTCGAGTGGGTAAAGGGTGGGGAGGGGTTGGCGGCCGTCGCATGTGGCTGCTCCCTCCCGGGGCACTCCTGGCAAGCAACTCGCTTGCAGAGCCCTGTGCTCTCCTCGTCGGTCCCCCTTCTTGTTTGTTCCCTTGACTGTCATTCATTCCACGCCATTGTTTTACACGTACATTCACACACACACACACACAGAGAGAGAGAGAGAGAGAGACACAGACGCGCCGAGAGAGAGCGACAGCTTCCTTCCTCCCAGCTTCCCCTTCTTTGGTGGTGGTGGGAGGAGGCGTTAATGTTTGCTTCAGCTTCACTACATTCTCGCACTCACTCGGTCCTTCCTCTTCCCTCCTATGTATCTTTTTTTTTCGTTGTTGCTGGTGCCGTTTTTTTTTTTTGCGTCTTCGTCCTCGCCTTTGGTGGCCGACGCATCGCTCCCTTTCCCCACAGACATAAAACTGGCTGTGACCGCAAGTACAGAAGGTGACGCTGCTTTCTGCCAAAAAGACCCCCCCCAAAAAAAAACACACACACGTTTGGGCGCCCCACGCACACATGACTGTATGTGTGTATATGTGGGTGCCTGTTACACACGCGGATGCAAGCATACATCATACATGTCAGCTGTTACCCGTCAGACCTCTTCTCTCCTTCTCCTTCTCCTTCTCCTTCTCCCTCTTCCTTGTTCTTGTTATGTGTTTCTTTGTTGCCTCTCTCTCTAGCACACACACATACGTCACCTATTTGACGTTTGTATCCTTTCGTCTCTTTCCGTTAATTTCTTCTTTGATCTTTCCCTTGTCTTCGTTTGGTGGTGCTCCTTAGCTTTAACTCATGCTCCTCCTCTTTTGTTGATGCTGCTCCATCATTGATTTCGTTACTCACTTTAAGTCCTCCACTTTTTTTTTAAAGGAGGAAGTTCACTTTCTTTTTTCCCCCAAATGCTGTTATTGTTGTTGCTGCTGCTGCCTGTGAAGTTCTTTGTTTCGTTCTTCTTCTCTCCTCCCCCCCCCCTCCCGTTACTTATTGAGTGTGTGCGTGTGGGTGGGGCGAAAAACGGGGCAGGCAGGGGCGTTTCTTGTGTTTGCCTACGAGCCAGCAGTCACTAGCAGCGCCCCTCCCCCCTCACAGCTATGTACATGCACAACGAGGCACACACACACACACGCACACATACACATGCACATATATGTATATATATATATATATATATGCGGGTGTATAACTGTGGAGAAGGGGTCAATATATATATATATATATATATTACGTTTCTTTCCACACATCTCCCACACA